CCTATTGGTAAATTGTCTGATTCATGGTCCCAGAAGTAACGAAAGTTTCGTTTTTCATCCCACATTTGCAGATTGCTTGCCAGACAAGGAACTTTTTATAGAATTTCGGCTTCTTTTTTATTTTATATTCTTCCGGGGAACTCTTTTGGTCAACCGCTCATGAATTGTTGTATTCACTTGCAATATGAGGCCTCAGTGTTCACGGAGAGAATTCCCAAGGAAACAGATTGTCTAGCGACCTTTGCAATGGTCCTTGCATGTCTACGGGAGCCACTCGATGATCACTCGGCACTCAAGCAATTGTCGATATATTTGCCATACCATTTATAAAGAAGTGGGCTGAGACCTGAGCCTTGGGGCAAGCCCATGTAACTATTTCTGGAAGTTGCCAGTAGTCCAAGTGCAAAGTTCATTTGCACCAAAATAGGTTAAAAATACACACTGGGTGACCAAAAGCCTGACCCTTCACACCATCTGAACAATAACTCACGATTAAGAGAACCTCAGAACTTCAAAGTAGATCAGGGAGCTTCAGGAAATGTTGCTCAAAAAATTGTGATTTCTATCATAAAACAACGTTTATGAGATTTTGCACCATGCCAAATTTTCTGAATACCACTAATAGACAGAAAACCCTTCATGAGTTGAACCTAATGGAATCCAGATTGTTATTATTTGTGTAATATTCAACAGGTCCAACAATCATGATTGTTCAAATCAATGAAAGCAGCTGCTATTTGGAATCCACAGAGTTTCAAAATATTGACGAGCAACATGTTTAAACATCCTCCTCAAATGAGTCATTACAATTACCGCCTGATTGAGGTACCGAGCCAGCCGCTCCGCTACGATCGATTACTTTACTTAGAGACTTGGGAGCTTCCGTTCGTTCCCGCCGATCCCGCTGATTACACTCACTGGCCCGCACAAACTCATCGCATCGTGATGTGCGCACATGCGAGACTCATTTTCTGCAATTTATCGCTATAAATCATCAATTTGCAAGTGAAAATTGAAATATCACAAATAAGGGAGGATAAAAACTACCATCACTAAATTAACGAACCTCATTTAATGCATTAGTTCATGTGGTCGAGCGGGAGAGATAGAGCCTGGCCCGGCAGAGACCGCGATCCAGCCGTGTTCCGGGGGCCGATACGATGATGATGAGCAGATCGCGCCGTCGTGTTTTGTGTGATCATCACGTCCGTCCGTCGTCCGAATCGCACTTGCTGAGGCTCTGCTTCTGTGGTTGCCAGTTAGGGTCTCCCCCCTCGGTCAATCGACATCGTGCGGGGCAACGGTGAGGGGCAGCCAAACCAAGTGATTGCAAAAATGATCTCACCACGATGATTATCTCTTGGTCTTGCTCTTATACTGAGTGAACGCGCGCGCACAGCAGTGAACGGCCGTCAGGTGCATCAGCCACGAAACAAAAACCTTTCTTTCTCTGATTTTGATTGAAGTTCGTCCATTTCTGGGGCTTTGGGGGGATGGGAGTAGGGCATCGGACGGGGAACCGTAAAATGAGGAGTTTATCCGCCGATTAAATTATGATTAAGTACCTTGCGAGCTCCCCGTGGTTGAGCTCTTTTTATTTGTAGGTCTTTTACTTGAAAAATTAACACTTTTTTTGGGGGAAGTTTGTCAAAAGTAAAAATGCACACCGGAATAAAAGCGAAGTCCGAGTCAGATGTGTGTACGGTCGTGTCATGCCGCGGGATTGGATAATGGACGTGGTTGCATCCGTCGTGGGGAGTGCAGCAGTCCAAAAATCGCGCGAGAGTGCTGCGAATCGCGACAGGCACTGCTCGGCGGCCGGCGGTCAGAGCGATGCCATGAATGGCAACATGATTAATGATATCTCGGTTGGAATTATACGATCAAATAATGTTCGCATTGACATTAACAACGAAAGTATTCTTTTTTTTTAGGTGGCTTCCTGCGAAGATGAGTAAGTGATGCTTGGGTACTGCAGTTGTTCGGTAATTTTCATGCTATCTATGGACGGTCATGTAAGGTATCAATACCTTGGATCATAAAACTCCGTTACTGAGAAAACTGACAACTCTAAACAACGAGTTCGAGTGATTCAGGTTCACAACATAATGAAACATTGTAGATTTAAAAACACAAATCACGGATCACCAACTAATGTGTAAATTATAGCAAACAAGGGTGTTTTTCCATTTGAATCCATTAGGGATTATCCATAATTAACGTAACATATTTTTGGTTTGCACGACGTTTGAGACAGTGCTGCAAAATTTCAATATCAATACCTACAAAATGCCAAATTTCACTATCCACCTGATGTCAGTATCAGTTCATACAGTTAGAATATCAATATCATTCGCCTCAATGTCAGTACGGAAATGGTATTGACATCTTAAAGGGGCCACTGATATTCAAAGTTGGGCCACAAATGTTAATTTTATCTTTAGAAAATTCATCAGTAATATTAAAACAATACAAAGGTTATACAAAAAAGTTGATTTATTGAGATAAAAGTATGCTCCTGAATTGCCTTTTCAAGTTCCTGCCTAATCTCTACGATGCTATATCAATCATTCACAGATATATTTTCAAATCTCTACATGTCCATATGTCTATGGGATCCCATCAGGTGAATGCAGGTCTGCCGCGCTTATTATAAGGCAATCTATACTCAGCAGCTAGTTTTAAACGATGATTATCAGGTCTACGAACTATGTGCAAGTGCAATCAGGCTAAGGCCTTGTTGTCCTCTGCTGTCCGAAGAAGTCGTCTCCACTCTACTCGATCCATGGCAACACTTCGCCAGCCAGGTAGTCTGCGAAGGGTCCGCGCACCTCTTCACTTTGCTATTGCCGGACTGGCAACATTGCCCAGGCTATGCCACCCAGTTGTGTCCATATTTAAGCTGGTAGTCTTTTGTTATCATATGACTCGGGGAGGCGTGAAGTAGGAACTTGTGAGGGCCAGGGCTAGGTATTCCGCTCCTTCCAGGTTCTCAACTCACCACTTTGTAGCCCTTCGAACTATGTGTCCCAATATCTGAGCTGAAGTATCCTGATCCAATTTGTGATTTTGGTTCGCAGTGTGCTGTGGAGCTGCCTGTCTCGGGTTTGCAGAGTGCCTTTATCTGGCCATATATTTGCTTCTGATACCTCCTGAGGGGCTTTCTCGACCTTTTGTAAGTACTGTGGCTTGAGTAACATACACCATAGTTGGGGCAATAATAGTATCGTGCCCATCTTCATTGTTGGTCTTCTCTCTTTTAGGAAATCTATAATGATTTTATGAATAACTGCATCCCTTGAGCGCCTACGGGTGGTTACATTCCGGTGTAGTCGTTCCGTGATCGGTACTCCAAGGTTGAATAACGAAGATGTTGTTTTGTAGACATGCTCCGCAATAATTTTTTCTGAGAGTGATATTCCTACAGGTAATCTTATCAGTACTTCACATTTTTTCTCGTTCAGCTTTAGGTTTACTTCTCTTAAGTATTTCTGGAGCACTGGTAGTAGCTTATCTAATTCCTCTACTGTCCTAACAATTATCAGAATACAATCCGCATGCACCGGAATAAAATGAAATTTGAGCTTATCAGATTGATTAAGTTTGAACAAACCATCCAGCTCATCCTCGATTGTTATGAGAATATATTTTTCCGTTTCGATTTTTATTATAAAAACAACGTTTCTGAGATTTTGCACCATGCCAAATTGTCTGGATACCAGTAATAGACAAAAATCCCTCCATGAGTTAAAATACCCTAGATTCAAATAATTTTTATAATATTCAACAGGTCGAAAAATCATGATTATTCAATCGAATATATAAGGAGAGAGGGGGAATCCCTGTTTAACTCCTTTCATTCGATTTTGACGTCGGACTACGTCTGGGATTTCTATATGGGGGCCCGAGTAGCACACTTTCATCACAATAAGTTACAGCAACTTGTTTATGACTGAAATAAGTCGTATATAAGTTTCTACAATTGATTTGTGACAAGCGTGCTACTAGGGGGTACACTTTGTGAAAACCGAAAATGGAACATGAAACAAAATTGTGAAAGATTTTGAACGTTAATAACTCAGCTGCCCCTGGTCCAATTTCAATAATTTTATTACCAATCGATCAGAAATATAGCTACGCATCGATAACAATGTTGATTTTCAACAAGAAACTATTGAAAAAGTTGTAAATGTCAAGCATTGTTCAAAAGCGTCGAATTAACTAACAAATCCACCAATCGTGTACAAGCATATGCTGCTTCCCCAACACAGTCATCAGAGAATCATTCCTAGACGAAACATATCGATGCAGCATTACGATGAGGCTCGGTAGCTCAGTGGTTACAGTTTCTGCTTACTGAGCAGAAGGTCGGGGTTCAATCCCAGGCCCGTCCCCATCCTTGCAATTTTTTCGCTTTGCCCTATCCTATCCCCACTAGATTTAAATAAAAACAAATTCTGCTTTAACCGATCGCATCACTTACCACATGAATCCGAATCTAAAACTAACCTACCCCACTAACACAACTATGCTTCCCGAGACAGCCGTGGAGATGTTGAGGAATTCTCAGTCTCTAGTAACAACCGCACTGTGCAAGTTGATTTGTTCTGATCATTCACGGAGGAGCAACTAAAAAGGTCGGATAACGTTAACTCGACGGCCAACATTCATTGATACCATTGTTGTTGTGGATGATAGAAGAGAATAGCAGAAATAGAATGAAATAGGTAAGTGAAGCCATGGTGATCACAAAAAGAGGAAATCGATAGAGAATTGGGTTTCATCCTTCTGCTTCTAAGACCCTTACAGTCGTCGTCACAGCAATGAAAACTAGAATCGCAGTGCTTTTGGTTCTAGGGCACTTGCTGGTTGCAATTTCAAAGATCAGGATTCACTGTGATGCGATCAGTGAAAACAGCAGAAATTTCCTTCCCAACTCTCTTGTGGAATCTTTTAATGGCTCTGAAAAGGGACAATTCTGTTAGATTTCGACGGAGAAATTAAGAGCGTTCACCACGAATACGACGAGCCAGCTGAATGTCCTTTGGCATAATTGTGACACGCTTGACGTGGATGGCGCACAGGTTGGTATCTTCGAACAGACCGACCAGATGGCTACGCTGGATTCCTGCAACGGCCGAGCTCTGGAAGCGCAGATCGGTCTTGAAAGTCCTGGGCGTTTTCAGGAGGAGCCTTCCCTCCGGTGGACTTACGAGCGGTCTGCTTGGTACGAACCATTGTGCTTAGTTACGGTGCAGATACGATGAATCGAACACGTTGAATAAAAATTTCAACCACTTTTTCCTCTATTTAATAACATACTTTTGTTATGTTCAACCAATCGTAAACGATGAAAGAACAAAAATGCAACAACTTACAAGAATAATTTAGCCTTCGAGTAGGTATAAAAGAGGCATTTATGGTTAAAATAAGCATTATTCTTTGTTAGACCGTCAAGCAGGTCAGTATGTATTGAGCTCGCTCTCTAGAGTTAAATGGAAAGTTTTTCGCATCCATTTCCTGCCAACCGTACCCGAAAGCAGCTTAAACAGCATAAACATTGCCTGGACGTGACAAGGGAGGCAAAGGACTCGGCGAAGGAGGAACCAAGCGTCACCGTAAGGTGTTGCATGATTACTTATAGGATATTTCTAAGACTGTGTCAGGCTCGTCGTGATAATGCGTATCTCCGGTCTGATGTGCTGAAGGTTATGCTGGAAAACGTCATTCGTGACGCTGTTACCTACTGTGAAGACGCCAAGTGTACGCTCTGAAGTGTCAGGGACGCACCCTGTATGGTTTAGGAGGTTAAGCTTCGTTCATTTTCCCTATTTGAAACAGCCCTTTTCAGGGCCAATAACTAATTTCAAAAGAGATTGTTTAGGAGTTCTACTAAACTTGGCATGAATGAAATTCCTGGAACCAGCAAAATGGTAGCAACCAAGCTTCTAATCCTGAAGCAACTGGGCCGACTCTCTGAGTGCCCATTTCTCGTAGTGAAGTTCGCTGCCTTTCCATCCACCGGGTCAACCCTTGTCCAGCAGTAGCCGTAAAAAGAAGTATTTATGGTGATCATATCATATGGTTGACACAAAACTGCAGGACTGCCTATTCTTTGCTGCATACAGCATAAATATTTACTTTTTTTTTTTTGTAAAAACTCAGGTAATCATGACAGATTCTGACGCAGTAGGTCTCTTTTCTTCATTCGCGTTGTAAGTTTTTGAATAATTCTTGAATATGGTTGATCATTTGCTTTATTTTATAGCCACGACGACACAGTAGCGGCAGTAGGACTCTTCCCTTTTGAATTGGGTGTTCACAGTATCCTTTTACAACAACGTCAAAACGGCTCTTTTCAGAGCCACAAACCATCAAAACGGCCCTTTCAAAGAAAGAGTTATAGCGAATTCGTTTATTATCGGGGTTAACACCAATTCCAACCCAGTGCGCCACCGAACTTTTTGTCAGTGTGAACCTCAACCTGAGCTAGGTTTTAAAAACAAACGAGCAAACTGACGTTTGTCAGAAAACAAGCAGACCCAATCTTGATACCCGATCCTGGTTGGAACTGAATAATAAACGAATTCGCTATTAGTTTGGAATATTTTCTAACACAAGAATAATTACACATGAACAGAAAAAGAATCTTATTAGTACTAAACAGAAACTGGACACTGACCAATTATTACGCTTCGGAAGAAATTCACGGATGTCATAACAATATCGGGAATTTTAAATAACGTTCGTTCAAAATACTTAACATATGTGAGCGTAGTTCTACGTCAACTGTAGTTTTTTTTAGCTGTCTTTAGTCTTTTCCAAAGAATCTGTTGCTCTTCCATATTGAGGCATCTTGTTAATCTATTGGTCTGTTCTTTAGATTCTCCTTTACGCATAGGAATTACTGGAAGTGCCGTAAATCGCCCATTGCACATGTCAATATATTGACAAACATCGTATTGTCAATTTACCTTACAATATTATCGATACATAAATATTGACAACATTAAAAACAACACACTAAAGCGCTCGTTACACGGGTCAATATAATGACAGTAAATTGACATACTGACAATATTATTGAAAAAGTAATATTGATGACGATGCATTGATGACGAGTATTGTTGGAAAACTCAGTGCCAACATCAGTTCAGTTCAGTGCCAACATTTCAAAGGGGCGTAATTGCATTGGTAAACAATGGCTTTAGCCGTCGATTTCTCACAACTTAAAGCTCATCCCTCCAAAATAACAGTGCTACTTGGTAGAGGAAACATTCTTCTACCTGTTGGTGTCATTATTTTATGAGTGAACTTTTATTCGCTAGAAATCAACGGCAAAAGCCACTTTTTACAAATGAAATTACGCCCCTTTGAAATGTTGGCACTGAACTGATTTTCATTAAATTTTGTCAATATTCTTTCCCTACCCAAGATGAGGGAGAACGTGTCATTTAGATCGACTGACTCACAGAGCACCTTCGCGCATGCAGCGAGGCATGCAGTGTTGCCATTTGTTTAAATCTTCGTGTGTAATATAAAATCGATTTCAAACTAAACAAAAAAAAATGTATATTTTCACAGTCACCAATCACCCAGGCTTCGTTTATATGGATGTACATTTTTTACAAAATCATGTTATATTTTTTTACTTTTTTTTTTTTTTTTATTGGGTATCAAGCTGGAGCTGCGTGACAGTTTAATTTTCAAGACTTGACCCATTTGAATAAATATTGCTTCTATCTTCGACAATACAGCAGAAGGACTAGCCTATGTTGGCCGCTTGAACACTGGATTCCGTATGTATTGTTTCAAGATAGTTATAGAAAAATGCTGTGACGTGTGCGCGTAGATACATCCGCGTAGTAAACCGATTGAATAAGTAAATCCGTTTCGAACGAAATATCTAAATTATGTAAGTTACGAAAACCGCGCGAATTCCGAAAGCCGTGCGAGACAACCGAAGCGAGAAAAAAGGCTTATTATCATTTAAAGAGTGCCACCAAAATAAATGTGATAGCCTATGTTGGCAAGTTGATTAGTTTTGGTTTCCTCCCTAGATATTCTACTTATTTACTACTGAGCTTTGTATCAAATTAGTTAATTTAAAGAACGTATCAATCATTTCAAGATTTCGCGACCGCACCGAACAAATTCTATACTACATAAGCTCAAAAGCGTTTGACAAGCTCTACCGAATTGCGTATCACTTCTGCGTAAGCTCCGTAGACGTAGGCGCGTTGAATCCGACAGTCGGCAAAGGTTTAACCTGTACCAACACCGCTTAAGGAACGACCTCGAGTCAGTTAAACCGTTTAAAGCTAAACATCTAAGTTACGTAAGATACGAAAATCGCACAAATTGTGAACGCCACGCGAGACAACCGTAGAGAAAAAACAGCTTATTATCACTTAAAGAGTGCCACCAAAATAAATGTGATAGCCTATGTTGGAAAGTTGATTAATTTTGGTTTTCTCCCTAGATATTCTACTTATTTACTACTGAGCTTTGTATCAAATTAGTAAATTTAAAGAACGTATCAATCAATCCAAGACTTCGCGACCACACCGAACAAATTCTTTACTACAGAAGCTCAAAAAAACTTTTGGTGAGCTCTACCGCATTGCGAATCACTTCTGCGTAAGCTCCGTAGACGTAGGCGCGTTGATTCCGACAGCCGCGAAAAGTTAAACATGCATCAATACCACATAAGGAAAGATCGATTTTATGTATGGTTTAGTTCATAGATTAACATTGACTGCTGTTTACAAATGTAAGTACTTGAACATTAAGAAATAAGTTAACTCAAATGCTTTAACCGCATATATAATAGATTTCGCGTATTGAGAGAATAATATAGTAATCGAGTACAACAAACTCAGGGGAATAAAATACCTCCAAAAGTTTAAAAGCTATTAATTGTCACATACCTCTACTTTTACTAATTTCCTAAACTATTTCTCTCCTTGTAAATCTGCTTAATGCTATTGGTCTACCTGCGTTTTCTTTTTAAAGTTCAAGACTAAATAAGAAGATTTATTCTACAACTTTAAAGGTTAATTGCATCCTAATTCTTTTGTTAATCTACTTAATGTCATTAGACTTTCTGAAGTTTCTTATTTAAGTTCATTTGATGATTATGATATCTCATTAGTCTAATTAAATAAATTATTAAAAGCTCTAATTCATCTTATCAATCATAACCCATGCTTTATTAAGTACCTGCACTTGTGCTTGTAATCTAAAATTAAACGTGTTTCAAGTACTTGTGATTTAAGCCTATACCTATTTATTATATCTTAGTTCGACCCAGGTAACACCTTCATGTGACTAAAATGCTTCATTTTGAAGATAGATTCCTAGCTGATTTTTAAATTATATAGGGTATATGTTCCAATTACGCTCTCACGTTTCCACTATGTCGCACCACAAAAATACATATGGGTATGTCACAATAGAAGCACACCACAGTGGAAATCCCGAGCCATAGTTCAAACACTTATCCCAAATCAAAATGAAGCACATATTAGATTAGTTACAATACCATGTAAAAAAATGGTGTTTAACATTGTTCCCTGAGTAATACCTCAATGAAAACAACAATGAAAGCTTGTCACGCAAATAGAAGGAGCACCGATGGGCACTTTCTGAAATATTTCAATAGTATAATTCCCTTACAAACCCAAATAAATCTATCTGCGTAAAAAATAAATAAAATAAGCGTGATTTGCGGCAAAACCCGCCAGTATCACACCCAACGTCAGTGCCTATACGTTAGCGTACTACGACGCGGCTCTCAATTAAAGGAGTAACAAGTGTGATACTATCACTGCTAGACTAGATCTTTGGTTCTCTCATGCAGTGGTTTATCAGAGAGGGCAAGCCTAGTAATCCCCATTGCCTGCCCATGACGCCATTCTATCGCGGCATGAGCCAGCAACGCCGACCATAAACCTACCGTCTCCAACACTCCACTAGCATGAAATTAAGCCCGCCCACCAACAGCCAAGGGGAGGGCATGTTATTTTTTTTACTTTAAAATAAAATAAGTACTATCAACGTTTCACTTACCTATACGCATAACGTAAATAATTATTATATGCATGATTTTCATTTATGAATGTTTACCAAAATATCAGCATGATAGTTTATAATTGGGAAACTGCGTTCCGTGAACGTGGGTTATTCCACACGTGTAGTAATTCTGCGCACTCGGCAAT